TCGCCTCCTCGGGGCACCCCCCCTGTACTGCAGGAAACCCGAAAGAAGTGATTTACGGGCAGAATTCATTCCCATCCCACTAAGCAGATGGTTCAGCTGAAAAGTATTAATCTGGGCCCCATAAACTTGTTAAATAATGAACTTTACCCTTGAGGCTAAAAAAAAAAAAAATCCCAAAGGGGGGGGGAGGCAGTGTTGCACAAGTTTATCAGTGCCCACTTGCTGCAGAACATGCCCTTGCAAGAGCTGTGTATGAAGAACTACTGCTATTTATATCTGCAATGCTTCCAAGCTGCTGCAAATCTCTAGGACAAGACTAATGCAGAACGCTTACTCACCTGCATAAAAACACAATACTCTAATTTTCTGCCCAGCTTTTCCTCCTATGTTGGAGGATCCTCAACTCCATACACACTTTTAAAAATGTTTCTAAAGCTGAAGTTCTTAAAATAGTAAAGAGCAATAAATATATTGTGTAAAGAGCTGACCCAAAAGGCTGTATGACCTGCACTTAGACATCAGTTTAATATGCAGCAGTATGGCATGTGGATGGAAAGTAAAAACAGCGGAAGCATAACATCTATGAGCACAAACTCAAGTGATCCCACATTTTTCACTGAAATGAATAAAGTTCAAGCAGCTTACTTTTTACTGACAATATAATCATATATTCCTTCAAACAATTACTTACAGTTTACTTATTTAATCCTTTCATAATTACTTCAGACATTCACCTCAACATTCTTTCATCACAGGAACAAATATGCACAGTACTTGCTCACTCATACAGTTCCAGCAAAAGCAACACACTCACAGCTACAGACTTCCAACATGACTAAGTCTGTTTGGTTCCAGAGTCACACTCTCTCTCTCTCTCTCTCCCTCTCCCCTACTCACTAGTAGTCAGGCACAAAAACATTTCTCGGTTAACATGCTTAACACATGCTATCCCATTCACTTCCCGGTCTCTTGACTTTTTCTCCTTCAGTTTGATGACAGTACCCCTTTCTCCAGGGAGCACTTGCACTTCTGCACAATGCACTACAGTGGCAGCCCCCAAAAACTTTGAGGTTTCTTCAAGAAACCAAGCGACTGTCCACAACATGTGCATGGGAACGTACAGCATCACTTAGGAAAGTATCTTCACTATCAGCTGTTCTTCTAAGTGTAAAAAACATGCACCATGCTTCAGTTTGGAATCTTTCTACCTTTTCAGCATAAGCTATTCTGAGGCTTTACAACTCAAATGCAAGTTGCACCCAGTAAATAACTGACTTACAGTCATGGGCTAGAAAGAGTTAAGGTATTTTTACCCTTCACTAAATTCTGTGATTTTTTTATATACAGTTTAAATGATAAGTGACCAGTTGAATTGGGTTTTGTTCTAATTTTCAAATACTTAAGTTTGACAAATACTGTATAAACATTTGAGCAATCTGATCCCTGATAGCATATTAGCATTAAGAACACTGCAATGTAAGCATTCAGCAGTAATTAAAATATTTTGAGAGACTACAATATACTCAGTAAACTTTTCCATGCAGAATATTATTTGAAAAGCATGAATTCTGTGACCAATGTATGGTCTACAACAATTTGAATACCTGAAATAAGTACAGCTACCCTGTAACTGTACACAGTGTGTACACTACCAAAACTTGACTTCCCATGTAGTTACAGTAAAATCTCTCAAACTTCTATTCAGTAAAACAAACAGCATAGGAAAACAAAAATCAGAATATCAACTTAATTTTTAATCCACACGCTTGCCTTCCTGCTCCATACCGAAATCAATAATGAATAAGCCGGGTCATGATTGCTTTCAGTAAGTATGTCAGAAATCTTCAAAACAATGAGATGAGGGCAAGAGTCGTTATAAGCTCAGACATCAAAGATGTTCCTAGTAATGCCACATGCTTATACAACCACATACTATGCATCAGCATACCAGGAACTGCAAAACCACAAGTACCAAAGGTACTTGAATTCTACATTACGAAACTTCCTATGCAAACACAAATTAACACAGAATTGTAAGTATTTGTGACTGGAATCTGAGAATTTCAGCCCAACCTTCACCGTGCGCCTGGGTAAAATGAAAATTTTTCGGGCTCGAGCGTCACCTTACATCTCCCGACAACCCTGTCACGCAGCAGCGGCTCCTCCAAAGTGTCAGTAACTCCAAGAGGCTTTCCAACAAATGGAAAGTCTTGTGTTTTGTCATCGCCCCCCCACGCCTCCCTCGCGGAGCTGCTCCTCAGGGTGCTTCTCAGCTTCACCTCCGCGCCCCCCGGCCCTGCCCGCCGCAGGACCCCGCAGCTTCGCCCCGTCGGGCAGCCCCCGGTTGCCCGCAGCCCGGCCCGGGGG